CCTGTGTCGCCTCTCACGGCACCCAGCAGACGACATGGGCTAGTGGATGTTCTTACAAGTTGCTGCTACCCATCACCTGTACCAGCTTCCCTGTGTCGCCTCTCACGGCACCCAGCAGACGACATGGGCTAGTGGATGTTCTTACAAGTTGCTGCTACCCATCACCTGTACCAGCTTCCCTGTGTCGCCTCTCACGGCACCCAGCAGACGACATGGGCTGGTGGATGTTCTTACAAGTTGCGGCTACCCATCACCTGTATCAGTTTCCCTGTGTCGCCTCTCACGGCACCCAGCAGACGACATGGGCTAGTGGATGTTCTTACAAGTTGCTGCTACCCATCACCTGTATCAGCTTCCCTGTGTCGCCTCTCATGGCACCCAGCAGACGACATGGGCTGGTGGATGTTCTTACAAGTTGCGGCTACCCATCACCTGTGTCAGTTTCCCTGTGTCGCCTCTCACGGCACCCAGCAGACGACATGGGCTGGTGGATGTTCTTACAAGTTGCGGCTACCCATCACCTGTATCAGCTTCCCTGTGTCGCCTCTTACGGCACCCAGCAGACGACATGGGCTGGTGGATGTTCTTACAAGTTGCGGCTACCCATCACCTGTATCAGTTTCCCTGTGTCGCCTCTCACGGAACCCAGCAGACGACATGGGCTAGTGGATGTTCTTACAAGTTGCTGCTACCCATCACCTGTATCAGCTTCCCTGTGTCGCCTCTCATGGCACCCAGCAGACGACATGGGCTGGTGGATGTTCTTACAAGTTGCTGCTACTCATCACCTGTATCAGCTTCCCTGTGTCGCCTCTTACGGCACCCAGCAGACGACATGGGCTGGTGGATGTTCTTATAAGTTGCGGCTACCCATCACCTGTATCAGTTTCCCTGTGTCGCCTCTTAAGGCACCCAGCAGACGACATGGGCTGGTGGATGTTCTTACAAGTTGCTGCTACCCATCACCTGTTCCAGTTTCCCTGTGTCGCCTCTCACGGCACCCAGCAGACGACATGGGCTGGTGGATGTTCTTACAAGTTGCGGCTACCCATCACCTGTATCAGTTTCCCTGTGTCGCCTCTTACGGCACCCAGCAGACGACATGGGCTGGTGGATGTTCTTACAAGTTGCTGCTACCCATCACCTGTTCCAGTTTCCCCCGTGTCGCCTCTCACGGCACCCAGCAGACGATATGGGCTGGTGGATGTTCTTACAAGTTGCTGCTACCCACCACCTGTTCCAGTTTCCCTGTGTCGCCTCTCACGGCACCCAGCAGACGACATGGGCTGGTGGATGTTCTTACAAGTTACGGCTACCCATCACCTGTATCAGTTTCCCTGTGTCGCCTCTCACAGCACCCAGCAGACGACATGGGCTGGTGGATGTTCTTACAAGTTGCGGCTACCCATCACCTGTATCAGTTTCCCTGTGTCGCCTCTCACGGCACCCAGCAGACGACATGGGCTAGTGGATGTTCTTACAAGTTGCGGCTACCCATCACCTGTATCAGTTTCCCTGTGTCGCCTCTCACGGCACCCAGCAGACCTACATGGGCTAGTGGATGTTCTTACAAATTGCGGCTACCCATCACCTGTATCAGTTTCCCTGTGTCGCCTCTCACGGCACCCAGCAGACGACATGGGCTAGTGGATGTTCTTACAAGTTGCTGCTACCCACCACCTGTTCCAGTTTCCCTGTGTCGCCTTCACGGCACCCAGCAGACGACATGGGCTAGTGGATGTTCTTACAAGTTGCGGCTACCCATCACCTGTATCAGTTTCCCTGTGTCGCCTCTCACGGCACCCAACAGACGACATGGGCTGGTGGATGTTCTTACAAGTTGCTGCTACCCATCACCTGTACCAGCTTCTCTGTGTCGCCTCTCACGGCACCCAGCAGACGACATGGGCTAGTGGATGTTCTTACAAGTTGCTGCTACCCATCACCTGTACCAGCTTCCTTGTGTCGCCTCTCACGGCACCAAGTAGACGACATGGGCTAGTGGATGTTCTTACAAGTTGCTGCTACCCATCACCTGTACCAGCTTCTCTGTGTCGCCTCTCACGGCACCCAGCAGACGACATGGGCTAGTGGATGTTCTTACAAGTTGCTGCTACCCATCACCTGTACCAGCTTCTCTGTGTCGCCTCTCACGGCACCCAGCAGACGACATGGGCTAGTGGATGTTCTTACAAGTTGCGGCTACCCATCACCTGTATCAGTTTCCCTGTGTCGCCTCTCACGGCACCCAGCAGACGACATGGGCTGGTGGATGTTCTTACAAGTTGCTGCTACCCATCACCTGTACCAGCTTCTCTGTGTCGCCTCTCACGGCACCCAGCAGACGACATGGGCTAGTGGATGTTCTTACAAGTTGCTGCTACCCATCACCTGTACCAGCTTCCCTGTGTCGCCTCTCACGGCACCAAGTAGACGACATGGGCTAGTGGATGTTCTTACAAGTTGCTGCTACCCATCACCTGTACCAGCTTCTCTGTGTCGCCTCTCACGGCACCCAGCAGACGACATGGGCTAGTGGATGGTCTTACAAGTTGCTGCTACCCATCACCTGTACCAGCTTCTCTGTGTCGCCTCTCACGGCACCCAGCAGACGACATGGGCTAGTGGATGTTCTTACAAGTTGCTGCTACCCATCACCTGTACCAGCTTCTCTGTGTCGCCTCTCACGGCACCCAGCAGACGACATGGGCTAGTGGATGTTCTTACAAGTTGCTGCTACCCATCACCTGTACCAGCTTCCCTGTGTCGCCTCTCACGGCACCCAGCAGACGACATGGGCTAGTGGATGTTCTTACAAGTTGCGGCTACCCATCACCTGTACCAGCTTCTCTGTGTCGCCTCTCACGGCACCCAGTAGACGACATGGGCTAGTGGATGTTCTTACAAGTCGCTGCTATCCATCACCTGTACCAGCTTCCCTGTGTCGCCTCTCACGGCACCCAGCAGACGACATGGGCTAGTAGATGTTCTTACAAGTTGCGTCTACCCATCACCTGTACCAGCTTCCCTGTGTCGCCTCTCACGGCACCCAGCAGACGACATGGGCTAGTGGATGTTCTTACAAGTTGCTGCTACCCATCACCTGTACCAGCTTCCCTGTGTCGCCTCTCACGGCACCCAGCAGACGACATGGGCTAGTGGATGTTCTTACAAGTTGCTGCTACCCATCACCTGTACCAGCCTCCCTGTGTCGCCTCTCACGGCACCCAGCAGACGACATGGGCTAGTGGATGTTCTTACAAGTTGCTGCTACCCATCACCTGTACCAGCTTCCCTGTGTCGCCTCTCACGGCACCCAGCAGACGACATGGGCTAGTGGATGTGCTTACAAGTTGCTGCTACCCATCACCTGTACCAGCTTCCCTGTGTCGCCTCTCACGGCACCCAGCAGACGACATGGGCTAGTGGATGTTCTTACAAGTTGCTGCTACCCATCACCTGTACCAGCTTCCCTGTGTCGCATCTCACGGCACCCAGCAGACGACATGGGCTAGTGGATGTTCTTACAAGTTGCTGCTACCCATCACCTGTACCAGCTTCCCTGTGTCGCCTCTCACGGCACCCAGCAGACGACATGGGCTAGTGGATGTTCTTACAAGTTGCTGCTACCCATCACCTGTACCAGCTTCCCCTGTGTCGCCTCTCACGGCACCCAGCAGACGACATGGGCTAGTGGATGTTCTTACAAGTTGCTGCTACCCATCACCTGTACCAGCCTCCCTGTGTCGCCTCTCACGGCACCCAGCAGACGACATGGGCTAGTGGATGTTCTTACAAGTTGCTGCTACCCATCACCTGTACCAGCTTCCCTGTGTCGCCTCTCACGGCACCCAGCAGACGACATGGGCTAGTGGATGTTCTTACAAGTTGCTGCTACCCATCACCTGTACCAGCTTCCCTGTGTCGCCTCTCACGGCACCCAGCAGACGACATGGGCTAGTGGATGTTCTGACAACGACGGTAGCGTATTATTATTATTAATAAAATAAAATGGTTTAATTAAATAATATACAATGTATACGTGGTAGAGCCACGCTGCAGCTATATTATGGTTATAGCACGAATGGGTGAACTCGACCGGGGAAGGACCACGTTCTTACACAATACCAGCTTAATACTGCTGTGTTTCGTATGGGGACTAGAAATCCGGAAACCCTTTTTTACTGGAAACGAAGCATAAGGATAGTTGTTAAGTGTGTACAGAAATAATTAAATAAATAAATGTTTTGGCTCAATATATTAAACAATTTAACATTGCAAATAATTGCGTATAATATTAAAAATGATTATTCATTAAATATTTTTCTTTTGTATAAAATAAATTTAAATTTTTCTTAATTTTGAATTTCAACTATTTTTTTAAATAATTTACTGTCTTCCTGAATGTCTTACCAGGTCGTCACTCTATCTAATAGGGAGGGAGGTGCACGAAATGCAAGTGCCTCAGGCCGTGCTTTATGCATTGTATTATATTTATTGCATACGTTGCAAGTGTTTTCATGAGACAGACCTGTGCAGCAGTGGAGTTGTGAAGGGCTATAATTATAATGATGATGAAAAAAATCGACCTGTCTGTAATGTCTGTAAAAACCATCGAAATTCCAGTTGCTTTATAATAGGAGTATGTCCTCGTTAAATCTCCATTTGTGTGATGTTTAGGTTGGAAATTGAATCCGTTCCTGCGTATGGTTCGGAAGTTTATATTATTTATATTATTTATATCAATTTATATTATTATTTTATTATTTTCATTTATTTGTCTTTATATTATTTATTTTATATTATTTTTATTTATTTGTCTTTTAGAATAGGGTCTTATGCGATTTAATTTCGTACTCACTTGTGTTTCCCTAATATATTACAAATTGAAAAAAAAAAAGTTCCTGATTGATGGTAACTTGAGAAAATGATTTCGATGAGCAAAATAATTCTAACCCGTTTGCGAGCCATGAGGGAGAAGATAAATAATCGTGTCGACTATGGATACACATAATAAATTAAAAATTTTACAATGCAACCTCGACAGATGTAAGAATGCACAACATGAGATTCTTCTCTCCTTTATGGCCGGTGATTATGACATCGCCCTCATCTCCGAGCCATATATTGGTTCTGGAGAACAGGTAAAATCAACATTTGGAATTGACACATATCAATTTTTCACGGGCAACAAGATTAAGACCTGCATCCTGGCAAAACCAGGATGCGGATCCATCTTGGGACTATCGCAATACTCTACATCCAACTTCTGCGCAATAAAAATTACGTTTGGTAATCGCAATATTTATATTGCGTCCATATATGTGGAACCCAATATTGACGAATCAAATACGCTCGATAAGCTTGACGTCTTTCTTAAAAACACAGGCGATTCTCATAAGATAGTTCGGGGCGATCTCAATGGGTGGCACCCGATTTGGGGAAGCGTAAAATCAAACCCAAGTGGCAACGAAGTTATAGATATAATACACAGCAATGACGTGTATGTATGCAACGTTGGTAACATCCCTACGTTTGAAACGGTCACCCACGGGCGAGATCGCTCTTCAATAATCGATCTCACATTTGCTTCCGGCTCCATCATCGATAACATCTTGGAGTGGCGTGTCAACTTAAACATTTCACCAATTTCCCAGCATAATGCAATAGACTATTGCATCGACTTTGACACATCTAACACCACACACACATATCAAAACTCCACCTTCCTATACAAGGCTAATAAAGCTTGTTGGCCTATCTTTAAGGACAAACTGCACACACACATGACACTCACAAACATACTCGAACATGACATTTCTACCCTGAACGTTGATGATCTGGAACATATCATCAACGAACTAACCAATGTGATTCACTCTGCATGTCGAGCCAGCATGCATGTTAAAAGCCGGGGAACAAAGCCCAAGGCTCCTTGGTGGACGGAGGAGTTGGAGACCCTCAAGCGGGAGGTGGTGGATTTACACCATCAGCTCCACGCTGCCAAGCGCCAGGGTATGCCTCTGGAACATATTTTAGAAACGAGGAAACAAAAAAAGGAACTATACGCCAACAAGATGCGTGAGGAGTCGACTAGGCATTTTCGTGAGTTTTGCGAATTGCAAACTAAGGAAAATGTCTGGTCACTCACGAACAGACTTCTCAAAAATGCCACCCCTAGGCGCCCACCAGTCACTCTCAATAGGGGCTCCACCTACACCACAGACAGCCAGGAGACTGCCAAAGCACTTCTTAACCACTTCTACCCAGATGACTCACCAGACACCTTAACGCGACATCACGAGCTCAGATCAGAAATGACCGACCTTCCTCAGTCCCACGATGATCCTCCCTTCACCCAGGAGGAGGTGTTAGAGTGCTTAAAACAAATGAGCCCCAAGAAGGCTCCCGGACTTGATAACTTCACATCGGACATATGTCTGCAATTTGCAACAGATTACCCTAGACTTCTGACAGATATACTGAACCGTTGTCTTACACTCCAACACTTCCCTGACCAGTGGAAAACAGCATACGTAAAAATTATCCCGAAACCGGGCAAGTCCGACTACAGCGCATTAGAGTCCTTTCGTCCAATAGGACTTCTACCTGTGTTTGGCAAACTGTTGGAAAAGCTTTTTATCAAAAGGGTCGTATACCACGCGCAGCGAAACAATCGACTAAACAAATTTCAGTTCGGTTTCCGGGAACAGACAAACACGTGCGAAGCCATTCACACAGCTCTTAAAATAATTAAATTAGCCAAATCAGAAAAACACCTCAGCATCGCGATATCTCTAGATATTAAAGCAGCCTTCGACAACGCTTGGTGGCCTGCACTCTTCCACATGTTGCGGCATATTCAATGCCCTAATAACATCTTTGGACTCATCCAGGATTATGTCCGCGATCGGAGGGTCATCCTTGACCATGCGGGGAGGCGAGTCACCAAGACGTTGTCTAAGGGCTGCATACAAGGTTCCACGTGTGGGCCTATTCTCTGGAATATCATACTAGACGAGCTGCTCGATGCGAGGCTTCCAGCGGGCTGTCACTTTTGCAGATGATGTCTTGCTGGTTGTCACGACCGCGAGTGTCGACGAGCTGGAGAGTGCTGCCAACTTAGCTCTCCACCATATAGTCGAGTGGGGAAGGAGCGTCAAGCTGACCTTCGGTCCCAATAAAACTAAGCTCATTGCCTTCACTCCCAAGGCTAAGGTAGCCAGCATTAACATGGACGGACACCGTCTTTCCTTTGTGCCAGAGGTTAAACTGTTGGGATTCATCTTAGACGAAAAACTAAACTTTGGGAAACACGTGAAACAGATTATCAACAAGGCCGTGCGAATCTTCAACACACTTTGTATGTACTCGAGACCCACACGGGGAGCCCATCCTGAGAACATCAGTACCATTTACCACCAAGTGATCGTGCCAACTATCACCTACGCTGCTGGAATTTGGGGACACGTTGCCCAGAAAAGGTGCATCAGGAGGGCACTCGGGAGCATGCAGCGCGGATTTGCCATTAAGGCTATTAGGGGATTCCGCACGGTATCTTCATCCGCGGCCATGGCGTTAGCCCAGTTTATGACTCTGGACCTGAAAGTGCGGAAAGTTTGCGCTGTGGAAAGAGCTCGGCTTCTGGGTATCTCTGACTACATCCCCAGCGACATTCCTCTAGAAAAACCAACTCCCGTCTCTGAACTCCTGCATCCTGCCAACGTATTTCCTTTATTCCTAAAATATTTACAAACTTCACATCTACGGGATCTGCATCCGAACAGACGACACATTTTATATTCACTGACGGTAGTAAGCAGGAAGACGGTGCAGTGGGAGCCGCTTTCTTGGGCTATCCCCCTACTAATCCTAATCAAGTGGCTTACATAAAGAAGTTTAAATTGCACAACACGTGTACAGTATTCCAAGCGGAGCTATTTGCCATTCTGCAGGCATGCAGGTGGATCAAAGATATACACACACGGTCATCTATACAGATTCACTCTCATCTATACACGCTGTAAAAAACAGAAGCAACACAAACCCCATCATTACACAAATACACAAAACAGAAACAGGCATCATAGAATTGGGATGGGTCAGGAGTCATTCTGGCATAGCTGGCAATGAGGCAGCTGATAAGGCTGCGAATGCTGGCTCCAAGTTGCGCAAACAACCTGACTACTTGGCCTTTCCCGTTTCATACCTCAAACACACAATCAGAACTCAAAATCGCGCGACCTGGCAAGCTAGGTATTATAGCGCAGAGCAGGGACAACACACCAAACGACTGCTTCCGACACTGGAGGATATCGAGAAGTTACGCACTATCACCAAACCCAGTTTTTACCTCACCCAGGTGCTCACCAACCATGGTTTTCACAAAGCTTATCTTTATCGCTGCAAAATAATTGACAATAATTATTGTCCTTGTGATAACGTCACCCCACAAACTCTGGAACATCTCACTGAGCATTGCCCAGCATTTTCAGTGCAACGATTAAATCATGTCATACTTTGTAAAAATTTAAGAACTCCTCCATTTAACTTAACCGCATTAATGAAGAAGGAGTCCCTTTTGGACTCTTTCATTCAATTTGTTAATAACATTTTTAAAAGACTTAAGAACTTCAATAAGAACTGTGCATCTGTAAATAGCAATAGTAATAGTTAGTAACTAAGCAACCACTTCTCTTTAATTTGTTTTCTTTATTTATTCTATTAGATATAATTAATAATTATTGTATGTTGTAATTGTTAAACGTTTGATTATCATTAGAATTAAGATCCTTTGAGCTTTTAATATTTTAATTTTCACTGTTATCAACCCTATTGTACTCACAATTTTTATTCATGTGCCTAGAACTAAGATTGTTTATTTCAATTAATTTCATTGTCATTATATTATTTTATTATACCACTGTTACTATAAAACGTTTAGAATTAAGATTACTCTATGAGTTCGTTTCCTCCCTTTTTGCTGTCTTTATACAACGTTTTCTGTGTTTAGAATTAATATTACTTAATTGTCATTATACTATACTTTTTGCTTAGAGTCAAGATTACTCTTTTGTTGTAGTATTTAATTCATTTTATTCTTTCTTTTTGTATTTTCATCCACTCTTATTTTTCTTTTCTGATGTGACTACGAAAACACAAGAATATCTATGATAACCAAATGATAATTTTATTAGAATAATAACTATGTACAAAAATTTCAAACTCTTAAACAAATTATATCAATATAAAGAGAAGGCATACGCAATATGTATCAAATAGCAGAAACGCGTAGCCTTCTCCATGTGTCATAGAAATAAGTAATAAAAAAAATGTTTAAAAAGTGTACAAAACTGTGAAAACTGCCAATATACTCCTGTTGGTGTGGGTGTACCCACCGGCGGAAACCATAAAAAAAAAAACCTATATAATTAATAAATATTAATCAAAGTTTTTTTTCTTTTTATAAACTACTAGTCTCAGACGAAATAAAAATATTTCGTCTGAGACTAGTAGTGGCAAAGAACTTACTCTCCATGGAGACCTGCAGTCACCTTCAAATTAAGAAGGCTATATGTGCGTTGTCACCTTTGTGGAATGAGGTGGAACGCCTCACCACAGATTAATAAATAGTTTACCAAGCCTCACAGCGTGTGATTGTGCTAGTTATATATTATACCCTTCAGACAGGAACACAGCAGTGCTATTTGGCGCCAGGAATAGGTCATAGGTTGATACCTATCCTTACGGACTCCTAGGCAGAAAAACAGTCCTATAACTGGATATTGCGCTTTGAGTACCTATATCAAGTGTATTAAGGTGGCAACACTTTCTTTACCGTAGTCTTTAGTTCTTGGTAATATATGATATATGGGTAGAAAACTGAAGCTCTCGTTGTAATAATTTTGTTACATTAAATATTATAAACAATATAGGCTCGATTATTACTTAAGCCACACAAAACAATAAACTCTAACATATCATTTCTTTTAGCATTTCTTGAGGAAGGAATTATGACGATCATGAATAGTCTTTGGAGAGGAGTTACTAGAATACCTGATGGCGAATCCTTTAGCTTATAGACTTCTGAAACCTACTTCAAACATAGATGTGCACTATAGCCGTTGTCACCTCTGAGAACTCATACATGCCTTGTAGCCTGAGATTATACTGCTTGTCTTATACTTCAAACCGGAACACAATAGCAATCGGCAAAAAACGAGCCCTACCACCACTTGTTCTAATATTTCTTGGCGCAAAATGACTCCTAATTTAAAAACAAAATGTAATGGAAACACAGACATCGTAATAATAAGACAATAGAAGTCGCATAGACGCGTGACCTTGTCGCCGCTATGATGTGTTGACGTCGTGTTGACGTCGACGTCGTATGATGTGACGACGTTGAACGTCGTACGTGAATTTATATTAATAGGTAGGTAGGTATAATGGTTAACTGCGTGGTGTAAAAACAATAGTAAAAACTCATCAAGGACGTGCAGTTCAACGAATAAAGACATAACATTTCATAGGTAAATTGATTATTTACTAATTATCCTTGTTTTATCTAATTTAAATCTATATGAATACTTTACTATGATATTACCTTTGTAAACTTTTACTAATTACTTTTTGTATTGACAACTACCATCGCGGCTTTTGTTCTATCGTAATATGCAACGCACGCGACGTTGAAAAACTCGCCAAGCAATGTAATGCGAAACATTAGATATCATTGTGCATTGCTTTACTTTTTATTTTTAAGAAAATAAAATTTCAGATTAAATAATCATTACGGCAAGAACACGAGCAAATATCTAGTACCACGTATTTATAATGAAATATACTTTGCAGACGATTGTGGTAATAGAGAAATATTTAAATGGAAGTAGAAAGAATGATGGTAGTTTTAATTGATATTCATATGTTTAATTATTAACAAATTTAAATAGTAGTTTAAGTTTAAATTTATTATTTTCTATTTTAAGTTTTAAATCCATATTAAGATTTTAATAACAGTAGGTACATAGAAGTGGATGATGATCTCCAACAAACTGCCCTGCAGTATGGTGAATGTAATAATGTCCTCCAAACCGAATATCGGCCACGGTGGCCTGTCTCAACGGAGGCTAGCCATCGGCGCTGGACTGGATTATAATGCCCAAGTGTATGCGCAAGCACAGGTGCACTCTCTTCCCTCACTCTCATAATCCGATGGGACGGTAAACCGACACGACCGGAGAGAGATCAGGCGCAGGACCAACGGCTTTACGTGCTTTCCGAGGCACGGGGGTGAGACATCGCCAACTTCCTGACTCCGGGCAGCTGCTGAGAATTTCTTCACAGAAAAACTCAATAGTTGATTTTTTGGCCCGACCCGGGATTTGAACCCAAGACCTCATGATCAGCAGTCACACTACTACAACGCTAGACCAACGAGGCAGTCATGGTGAATGTAGTAGGTACCTATAAGAAACATCAGACTTTATTTTTGTATGATAAAACATTTAAAAAAAAGTTTGCTCTGTGGGATCTCGTGGCAGCAATTATGTTCTGAATTTCTTCCGGTAGCTTCTTCATAATGTAAAGTTTGAATGTAATTTATTTAAAATACCAAAGAACTTTTTAAATTGGCTTCATATCTCTAATTAGAAAATTACCTACAAAATGACCAAAAAATTCTGGTCTTTTCTGCACATATTCCGTATTAAAATGGAGTTGCGGTAGAGCTTTACATTTAACAGGGTTCCTCTATGTTCACCAACGACAGTTTCGCGGTCCACGATTAGATTAAGATTCGTAGGTAATCTCTAATAAAGGTAGGGGTGTAAATGAGAACTTGAAAATACTGAGAGATTACGAAATATCTAAAATCACTGTCTATTTAAGGGTTGACTTGCCTTTAGACTTAATAATAGTTTGTAATAATTGATTAATAATAATCTACTTAAATAATGTTTATTTTTTCTGACATATTTTTTTTGGAACAGTAAATTGGCAGCAGAGTCTTCGTGATAACAAATGAATATAATAACAACTGTGGTTGCCAACCCGCCCGCCAGGCGTG